ACACTTCTAAATACAACGCTTGCAAAATTTAACTATACGCTAAATATTGTGCATGTTCTTACCGCTTTGTCCGAGAGATAAGGTACGGCGTATTTTTAAATGATAATGTTAAATTTGAAAATAAACATATGTTTTTTATTGGACATTACCTGAATTAATTTTTAAAATAGATATAGGCCTGTGATAAAGTTGGAAAATCAAATTAATTCCACCTAATACGCCAAAATTTCACACTGTGCCACTGGTCGAAAGTTAGCTTTCCTCCCGTGGGCCGGAAGTAAATGAAATTGTTAAAATTGATGTATTTTTTAAGTTTTTATTCAAATGAAAATTACAAAATTCGAATGATTATAAATAAAATAGTATACATACAAGTGTTTCACAAGATTCTTGCAAATTTCTTGTTCTTGTCTTGTTCTTGCTGCAAGAACAAGACAAGACTTTCTTGAATTTCTTGTCTTGCAAAGCAAGACAGGACAAGAAGTTACCGAGCAAGACAAGAAATTATCCTGCAAGACTCTTGCAAGCTTGCAAGAAATCTTGCAAAAAAATGAAGTCTCCTTTCCTGCATATTTTTGAAGCAATTTTGGCAGTTAACAACAAGACAAGAATGTCAGCATGTTAGTTTGTAAGGTTTAAGGCATTTTTCTGCGACAAAACGTTTTGAAATTGTAGTTTCGAAACACTCAAACAGATGTCAGTTTCTAACAGTTCTTGCAGCAAACTAGGAAAATTTTTGGTCATGATGGACATCGACACTGCACACATAAAATTGAATTTAAGCTCAATGTGAAGGACTTTTCGTTTTCAACCATCAAAGAATCAAGTCGAATTTTTCCTAAGGTCTGTTAGCATTGTAGTGCATAAAATAGTTACGTTAGTGCTGAAACTGTTTTAAAAGGGTTTTTGAAACTTTTTCTTCGAAAAAAAAGCCTTTAAACCAGGAAAGATGGCAACCACGTTATCAATGACAATGACACCAATCATAATCTTAAGGGCCCCACAGACTATGATGAAACACGTCGCACCAAAACCGGCGTGTGTGGTAGAAAACCGTCGTGTTTTGCTACCCCACGCCCCTCCGACACGCTTTTTAACGTAATGAATGATGCAAGAGTCTTGTAGCAAGAATCTTGCGAGCAAGCCTCTTGCTATGACGTCACAAAGGAATAATGCAAGAACAAGAAATTGCAAGAAATCTTGTTTGCAAGACAAGATTTTTTCTGCAAGAGTCGGGCAAGACAAGAATGCATTTCATTTCTTGTCTTGCTTTGCAAGACAAGACAAGAATAGGCCCAGCAAGACAAGAAATCTTGTCTTGTGAAACACTAATACATACCTCGGTGAGAAGTTTCATTACTGTCTCGAGATTTTAGTTAGACCTTGGCTGCGCGTCGGTCTAACTAAAATCTCTCGACAGTAATGAAACACTTTCCACCTCGGTATGTACTATACTATTAATTAGAGCCTAATTACATTGAAATCAGATGAGATTTAACGGAGTTGTGAGGCAAAAACTGTCTCAGTGTCATTCATGGAAAATTTTCAATGTTCGATAAATCCAATTTTGAAGCCACTCAGGTGCAAAACTGTTAAAACCAAATTGAAATATTATTTAGCAGGTTTGTAGAGAATTTAATTGACTTTGATAGGAGTTTAATTACATTAGAGTCAAAGAAAAATTGAAGGAGCTGTGAGACAAAAACTGTGTCAGTGTCACTTATGAAAAATTTTCAATGTTCGATAAATTTAATTTTAAAGCTTTTCAGGTGCAAAACTGTTGAAACCAAATTAAAATCTCAATTGATAAGTTTGTAGAGAATGTGATTGGCTTGAATAAGAGCTTAACTATAATAAAATCGGATGCAAATTAACGAAACTCTGACTGTGAGGCTCAATGTAATTTTTGGCAAATTTTCCATGTTCGATTAATTCAATTTTAAAGCTTCTCAGGTGCAAAACTGTTGAAACCAAATTAAAATCTTAATTAATGGGTTTGTAGAGAATTTGATTGGCTTCAGTTTCAGTCTAATTACACTGAAATCAGATGGAAATTAACGGAGCTGTTAGGCAAAAACTGTCCCAATGTCATTTGTGGAAAATTTTCAATATTGGATAAATTCAATTTTGAAGCTTCTCAGGTACAAAATTGTTGAAGCAAATATACAATTTGGTCTAGTTAAGTAAGCACAGAAACTATTATAATAAAAAATAATCCAAAAATAGAAATTTCAAAAGATCCGGGTTATTGCCAACCCTGTCAATCAATGAATTAATGCATTGACTAATGATCAGTTAACTGCAGGATTGGGAATTATACCTACTAATTGGTTTTATATGAAGTTTCATAATAATCCATGCTTATTAATATTATATTGAAGTATTTTACGACACGAAAATAAACTAAAATCAGGAACTAAAAAACAACTGCATCAGGAGTAATCGAGACTTTAATGGTTGTACATATAACGTCATACATGCGCTGCAACGCATGCAAAACTCTCGACTGTTGTAAAATACTCACTCATAATCACTTCTGTAAAATACAAAATTGTGGTGCATTTATTTGAAAAAGACAGAGAGTAACAAATCATTTTTTAAGGGTTCTTCCATAGGCGTGCAGTAAATATTTATCCGAATATTTCACTCGGTATGGTCAAATTGAAGAAGACGAATTCGACGGAAATACAGTGAGAACCGAATCGAAAAATACATTTAAATCTAGAAAGAGTATTTGGAAAGTAAGTAAGTAAATTCTCTATGGAATTATAAACAAGGTTCCATTAAAATTATCGGTAATTATTAAGCACTCGTGGTATTGAAAGTAGAATAAATTGTTGTATGTGTGTAAATAATATAATAATTTTTACTATTCAAAGGTTTCCAAATCTAGTTTTATTTATTTCTAATAAATTCATTATTCATTTTTCAATGTCCTTACCTTAAGTTACGCTTATGATCACAGTTAGATACCTGAGGTATACAATACAGGGTATATCAGGTATGAGTACAAATATTTTAACATGAGATAATATGGCCCATTTCAAGCTAAAACTGTCCTATTAACCATGGGTAAATTGTTAGTATTTTCGGAGTTATCGCAGAATTTAAATTTAGGAAAATGTTAACAACGTGACAACATTGTAGTCGCAGAGATGAGGTCTTAACTGAGACAAAATTTGAGTAACAGGCTGAAAATTTCATACATTATGGTTTTCAACATTCTAAATCGATCTACGCATGAATTTTAATTATTAGTCCCCTGCTCGAGGGTGAAAAAAAATATTTAAGGCAAGTAAGATGAAGACAGAGTCTCCATATAAGATAAAACACTTCTCAATCGGTCCTTAATTGGGCCGTTACCTAATTAAAATATTTAAGGGTTGAAACTCAAATATTACGCAAATGAATGAGAAATTAGGAAAAATTTCAAACAAATGTTGGGCTTGTAAAATTTCGCGTAGAAAACGTTTGAAGTTTTTCTCTCTGAAAAATGAAAAAAAAAGCGCTGGGCGCCGCTGACGTGCCCAGGGAGAATTATGTTCTTTATTATTCGGCAAATATTCTGTTTTCGTAGTGCGCGCGACAAATTAACGTGAAAATTCTCTTTAACGGTATTTGCAGTTTATGAAAAAAAAAAAACAACTAGAATTCAATCGTTGTTTAATTTCTTTTCTAGTTGGTTTAAAGAGCAAATTGTTCAATAAGTATATCATAGTGAAGTTGATTATTGTTAATATTATTGTTATTGTTATTGTGCATTTGCATTGGAGTTGTATTGTATATATATATTATATAGGTAAGTGTTCGATTATTTTTTTATTGATTGCAATTGCAAAGCATACATTTTTTTTAATAACTAATGTGTAAAAAAATCATTTAGATAAAAAAATATTGAAAAATCTTGTGAATAAACACGAAAAAAAAAAATGTTATAGATGGCAGCCTATTAAAATAAGTGAATAAGAAACAAACAACTTAATATTTACCCAGAAGTGGGCTTTCCCTTGCCAGAAGACAAATTATACAGCCAAGAGGTACCAATACAGGGTGTCAATTTGAAAAATTCTCACCCCTATTATCTCGGAGTAGAAAAATTTTCAAAAAATCCCTGAAACACGTCAACTATAATTTGAAGGGGGATGAGTGTTTATGTAAAATTCACTTCCCCTCTCTCAACCCCCCAACCTCCAGAGCCACCCCATAGAAAATCTTAAATGGGAAGGAGGGTCAAGTGATACATCATTTTGCAGCGTTTTCAATTCGATACATTTTGGTACCAAATTTCAATACTTGAGTTCAACTGTTTTGAAAATATTGATAGTTGCAAATTGACTTTTTTTGCAACTTAAACAGGCTGTAAAACCTAAATGGTTAATTTTAGGGAAAAAACGATTTTACATTCTTGTCTTAGATTTTCATAAACTATTATTTGACACCAACTTTGAATTTAACCGGAGATTAAATTTTTAACCGGAATTTTGGATTATGGATTAAATTCAAAGTTGGTGTCAAATGATAGCTTATGAAAATCTAAGATCGGTTTTTCTCTACAATTAACCGTTTAGGTTTTAGAGCCTGTTAAAGTTGCAAAAAAGTCAATTTTCAACTGTCAATATTTCTAAAACAGTTGAACTCAGTTATTGAAATTTGGTACCAAAATGTATGGAATTAAAAACACGGCAAAATGATGTATCACTTGACGCCTCTTCCCATTTAATATTTTCTAGGGGGTGGCTCTGGGGGCTGGGGGGTTGAAAGAGGGGAGGTTAATTTTTCATAAAAACTCATCCCCTTTCAAATTATAGTCGACGTGTTTCAGGGATTTTTTCGAATATTTTTCTACTCCGAGATAATGTGGGAAGTTTTCAAATTTTCAAAATTCTTTCCCTAATATCTTTGAATTTGAATATTTCAGAGAATTTCGTTCAACGAAATAACATATTGATGCGATATTTTGCTTTGTTTTTCAATTATAATTTCTATTTTTTTGGCTAGATATGGATCTGGTCGAATCGCATCAATCATGTCCTTTTTGCAAGGGTCCTGTAAATAGTCAAAGGGATAAAGTAATCGTTAAGACAAAAGGTTTGGCAACGCTAATTGAAAAGAGTAAATCGAAAAGTGATGATAAATGGACACATTGGACTGGCTTAACAGAACTGCTCTCTCACACTTCTTGTCGATTGCGCTATTTGACTTCGCCTGTAGCTAAATCAACAATATCTACGAATGACTCTACAATATCATCTCCGGGGACATCTTGCACACCTGACATCTCAATGGCACCTTCAACTGCAATTCGAGCATCAGCAAATCTTCTAACCAACACGCCATCAGTCACCCCTCAGGATGCGAAAGATTTTGATTTCATCAAATTATGTTTTCTTTGTGGTGGTGATTGCAATACAAAACAAAACCAAAATCAATGGAGGTTAGTAAAACAGAATTTCATTCTGGATAAAATATTAGATGCAGCTACAACTCGAGATGATAGTTTAGGAGCAACAGTCTTAGACAGGCTTGATGGAATTACCTCCTTGGTTGACGTACAAGCCAGATATCACTCGAAATGTTATTTATTATTTTTTAAAGCGAACCAAACCGCACGTGCCCCATCCCCTGCTACTGCTTTAAACAAAAAATCATTTGAAATTGTTTGTAATTACATTGAAGAAAGTGGCAAATTTGAATTTACTCTACCAGAATTACAAAACGTAATGACACGGAACTGCCTTGACAGAAGGACTCTCTATAAAATGTTACACAATAAATATGGCAAATCGATTTATATTCGTCAGCAGCAAGGGAAACCAACAATTATTTATTACAAATATTTCAATATAGGGAGTATGTGCAACAAATTTTATTGGGATGAAGACTATGATGAAGATGAGAAAGAGGTAGTTCTCAAAACTGCGGCTCGGTTACTTAGGACAGATATAAAGGCCAAGCAATATAATGTAGAGAGTTTCCCACCAGCCACCCAATTTCTTGATGACATTGATAAGGACGTTCCTGATTCACTCCGATATTTCCTAAGTGCATTGATTGAAAACGCACAAAGTGATGATTATCTTGTGAAGAGAAAAATTATTTCACATTCCATAATTTCAGCAATTCGTTCTCGCATATTCATTTCAACATTGCAGTTAGCAGTTGGTACTTATATTTATAGGAAAACTGGCTCAAGGCAAATTATCGATATGTTAGATCAAATGGGTGTCTCTGTGTCATATCACCATTTGCAACAATACGAAACGTCTGTTATATTAAATCCACCTGAAATGGCCATTGAAGATGGGGTCCATATTCAGCACGTTTTTGATAACACGGATCATAATGTCAGCACGTTAGATGGCCATCATACGTTCCACTGCTTAGGTGGCATCGCGATTTACACCCCTGGGCAGGATGTGTCATATCACGGCCGCATCGCCAGATACAAAACTCGTGGTAGTGCTACTTCTGCAGTAATACAAGCCAAAGGCGGCATTCCCACTATTCCCTGCTCCTGCAATAACTCGACAAGCCTCGAAGGAATAAGGTATGTCGACACAAATACGCTAAGTTTTGGGACTTTGCGACCATTGCCACCCTCATATTCTCTCTATATATGAGCCAAATCATTCGCCATTTCCAACTTGCCAAGTTGGGGTGGATTCATGGAAATCCTTTCCGGAGAAACAATGTATTCTGTATCACGTATTATCTGCCAGCCATTTATAAACGAGCCACCATCAAATAAAGGTACGTTAAATACAGCGTTGAGCTTCGCAAGATCAGAATGCGATAAATTGCACCAAAAAACTTGCTTTGTGACTTTTGATCAGCCATTGTACCACAAAGCACGTATGATTATTGCAGAGTCTCAAGAAAGTGGAAAACTGAAAAATGTCGTCGTGCGCCTGGGTGGATTCCATCTTTTGATGTCCTATCTTGGTGCTATAGGTTATATCATGGCAGATAGCGGCCTCGAAGCGTTATGGTCCATTGTGTATGCTCCACAATCAGTGAAACAAATGCTTACTGGTCATGCTTTCGCTAGAGCAATGAGAGCGCATATTTTGACGTTTACTGCACTAGGAATTGCAGTTGCTAAAAGCGCGACAAGTGACAAAACTTTTGAATATCGCAATCACATATCGTCATTTTTGAAGGATTGGCAGTGTGATTCTGCGCAACCTCTCACATTCGGCGATTGCCAAGCTGATCCTGTCGTTGCTGAAATGGCGAGCGACTTTATGGCAGAAGTAAATCGTCTGAAAAATAACGGCCCAACTGCACAGCTTTGGCTGCAATACTTTGAGTTGGTAACTATTGCATTGCAATTCGTCGAGGCAGAGCGATTGGGTAACTGGAAATTACATCTGCAATGTGTCAACCAAATGCTCCCCATATTTCATGCGGCGGGTAACTTGCCATATGCAAAGAGCGCACAAATATATTTGCAGGATATGGCAGCTTTGGAATACTCTATGGATCCTGCAGAGTACGATAAATTTACAAATGAGGGTTTCTTCACAATAAGGAGATCAGAAAAGCCTTGGTCCGGCGTGTGGAGTGATATGACGATTGAGCAAACACTGAATCGATACTTTGGGACTGATCTAAAACATGGAAGAGGAATTACATCAGGGGTGATTGCACGATATTTACTGGCCATGCCTTCGACCTTCAATATCATGGAATGTGTTGAGGAGTTTTTTAAAATACAGACGATTTCTAGTGAACAGCACAAAGATCTGGGTGCTTCGCGCCAAAAAAGAGATGAAGAGGATTTGTACAAGTTTCTGTCTTGGTTCGACAGCCACCAACCATTTGAACCGCGTGCTACTATAATGTCCTTGTCGACAGGAATGTCCGGAACTGGAATTGACTGTCATTTGGCAATATCGAAAGGAAGGCAAGGGATGTTGAGCATGTTGGGACAAAATGCTCGAAATATATCACTATCGATGTTAAATAAAGTGAAGAATTTAGCTTCACTAAAAGCGAGTATTCACCTAGCTGACACTCCACACCTTGCAGTCGACTCTGCATTGCTATTCCAACGCATTTCAGTCGTTTTTCAAGGTGATGCGGCACGAACACGGAACGCGTTTGATTACGAACTTGCGCCATATCCTCTTACATTATTTGATGAAAAAGGATTCATGCGAAAAACTTCTAAAGCTGATCTATACAAAGTATTTAAAAAATACAAGTCACACATTCACACAGAGATGTTTCTAGAGAATTTTGTATTTGTACTTGACGGAGGCTTTTTATTACAGAGCGTATGTTGGCCACACGGCGTAACGTATCGTGAAATTTTTCGAAGATACCTCGATTTCATTGTACATCATTATCGTGCTAAAGCCTATGTAGTTTTTGATGGCTACCACAACGACTCTTTAGGCGTGAAATCTTATGAAAGGTACCGACGAGGCGAGATCAATTTCAAAGCAAATATTGATTTCACTGAAGACATGCTGCTCCCAGTCACTCAGAAAAAGTTTCTTTCCAACATCGGAAACAAATGTAGATTTATTAAAATGTTGTCCAAATATTTGCATGACAATAACGTACAAGTCGCCATAGCTCCAGAAGACGCGGATACCTTAATAGTAAACACTGCAATCAAGGTGAACAGATCAATCGAAGGTCCCGTGGCAGTAGTTGGGAATGATACCGATTTATTGGTGCTGCTCATCGCATTAAACAATAACGAGAGAAAGACGATTTATCTGTATAAAATTGTTCCTGGGAAAACGAAAGATTTGTACTCCACAGCAGATCAGGATGAATTTAAGGAGTTTATACTCTTCGCACATGCGTTCGTTGGATGCGACACAACGAGTTCGATGTACATGAAAGGTAAAAGGTCTCTGTTGACTCTTCTGCAAAAGAACAGAGAGCTTCGAAATCTAGCCAAAGTATTCTACGATCCTCTAAGTAAAATCGATGCAATATGCACTGCCGCAGAAACTTTTGTTCTCCATTTGTACGGGTATTATAATAACGATGATATTGATAGGCAAATGCCACTCGGTGAAGCGCGATATAAGAAATTCGTGTCGTCAACAGCAACGGGTACAAGTACAATGCGCCTGGCTAAGTTACCGCCAACTTCAGCTGCATTGAATGAACATGCAAAGCGTGTGTACCTACAAGTTCAGTCGTGGCTGAGCATTATATTACTACCTGAAAATTGGGGGTGGAAAAGACGTTTATCTGTTTTCTTTCCAACCATGTCAACTGCAAGTCCAGCTCCTCAGGAACTTCTGAAATTGGTAAGATTATTTATTTATTTATTTATGTAACAACGGATAAACCATTTTATTTCTGACCGGAGCTCCGTCTAAGTTACTAACGATTACATCCCTTGGGATATTATTGTTATCCTTCATAGATAGGTGCCATTGGTACCAACCACCCAAGTCCCACGGGCCTTTGGTATAATTAAGACCCTCATAATAGGTACCCTTGATATGTAAATAACTATGTTTATTTATGGTTGATCATAATGATTTATATTTTTTCTTTCGACAGATTTCTTGTGGCTGCACAACAGACTGTGCTTACTCACAGTGCGGGTGCGCTAAAGCTGGGATGCGATGTTCTCAACTGTGTAAAAACTGCAATGGTCTTAGTTGTAACAATGCTTCCATCATAAAGCCTTCCTTGGAAGAGAATGACATAGAAGAGGCTGTTATTAACGAATTGTCCACTGCCCTGGATGAAGAAGATCAAGAGCATGAGGCTTATACGATGGATGAAGACGATGAAATGCTCAATTATGGCAACTATTTTGATGAAACAGATTTAATGTGAAATTGAAAATTAAAAAGAAAAAAACTGTATTTTTTACCTAACGCAGAAAAATAAAAATCGCAAGACAAAATGAGTGAAATCTCTTGAATATTTATTTAACATTAATTATAGAGAACTAGATTATCTATCTAAAAAGTCACGTAGGTTTATCTTATTCCTGTCCGAAGAATATTAACAATGTTAGATTGAAATGATTTTTTTTCGTTTATTTGTTTTCAAATGAATGATTATATCGGGTCTTTAAAAAAAAACAATCAAAGATTGCTATGGTTTTTTAAACGTACAGTCGTGAGCACAAAAAGTGGGACACCCGTTTTTTCCTATTGTGAAACGGCCTCACCAGCTATACCTACGGCAATGACAGGAATTGTCGTATTTGACAAAAATTGCATTGTAGACAAAAGACTGATTTACCCAAAATAGCGAAAAATGACAAGACCTGTGAGTCGGGTGTCCCACTTTTTGTGCTCACGACTGTACGTTTTAGCAATATTTTTATTTAATTTTTTCAATGAACCAACTTTAATGTTAAAATGTCATGTCAAAAATCCTGTCCAATAAAGGAACAGTAAAGCGACGTACGTTTTCCTAATCAAAGCAATCTTCGATTAGTTTTTTTTTGAAGACCCGATATATTATAAATTATTGTTAATTATTTCTATTTTATCATCACTTTTTTTTACTTTCAAAACTTAATTAATAGAAACGCGAATATAAATTACGAATAATATAACGAAGCAAATTTTTTATTAAGTAAAACTAGTTTCGTCCCTTAAATTTATTTTTCATAATTTTTATCTGTCATTTATTTATTCGAATCCCGACAGAAAAAGTCGATGCAAAAATGACCGTGTATTTCCAAAGTTTATCACGTTATGCATTTGCCGAGCGCGGCATCGTCAGTGGCACGCGGCGGGCTTCTCCCATTTTTGTGGGTAGCGAAACTTTGAAATTAGCTAAAGGGTTAACGATAAATGATAGAGAGAAAAACTTCAAACGTTTTCTACGCGAAATTTTACAAGCTCCAACATTTGTTTGAAATTTTTCCCGATTTCTCATTCATTTGCGTAATATTTGAGTTTCAACCCTTAAATATTTTTTTTCACCCTCAAGCAGGGGACTAATAATTAAAATTCATGCGTAGATCGATTTAGAATGTTGAAAACCATAATGTATGAAATTTTCAGGCTGTTACTCAAATTTTGCCTCAGTTAAGACCTCGTCTCTGCGACTATTGTACAGGTATTCTCTGCCAGGATATAAATGTAAATAAAACTGGTAAATTTAAAAAGTTTTTTTTTGCACAGAGTTTATTTTATTTCCATCTGTTTACGTTTTGGTTTGTTATTGGCTTTCAAATAATGTAAATAATAACTTGCATTTTTATCACTTTTCTAGTGAAAATAAAAAATGTGCCGTTTTATTAAGTTGTAAATTGAACTCAATGAGATTTTTGCACTAAACATTCAAGAGAAAAATCAAATAATACTTACTCAGCTACTTGTCAAATCCTTATTATGAAAATAGTAATTGTTGTTCAAAGGTTCTCAAAACACTAAAATCAACACGCAGATTTTGCACGCTCACAACTCACACTTCCTCTATCACGCAATTTTTGTAAAACGGGCACAATGTTCTTTCATCAGGTGGGTGCTTTTCTTTTGGGAAATCTTTCTCTAGTTTCCTTGTAAATTCTGGCGGCTAAATGAGCATTTTTCAACGTTTCTGCCTAAACAAGTATCTGCATATTCGATGTTTCTAAACATTTTATTGAAAAAAAAAATGAATTTGAATTACGCGCGTTTCCTAACTAGACCAAATCAAGAATCAATTTATTCAGCTCTACCAAGGGTCAACCTTCAACCACCTATTCTTCATTGTGCTGTATTGCCAGATGTTTAGATATCCTTTTACAAGTGAAATTTGTAAGTTGTTTTTTCAATTATTTGTTATAGTTCTTGACTTAAAATGCATAATTACTTAATAATTGGATAAACTAAATTTTTCTACATCTCATAATAATTAAAATTTTCTTTACCTTCAAAATATTCGTTAAAAAATGTCAAAACTTCAAAGGCCTTTTTCTCAAAAACGGTTGAGTTTAGACCCCATGTTGTGTAAACTTTTTTTTGTTCAAAATGGGCCATATTTTCACGTGTTAAAATTTTTGTAGTCAAACCTGATACACCCTGTATACTGAAGGATTTCAGTTGTATTCCCCCTTAACGAGCCCTAACAGCAAAGTCTATCCTCGAACAAGTCCGCTCACTCTCGCTCGTCGCCTAAAATTCCCCTCCTAGTCCATTATCATAGGGTCCGCTCGCTTCGATCTCGTGCTAAGTTCAAAAATGCATTATTTTATGAAAATATGGGACTTCTTGATTACCAAATGGTATGTTGGCATTTTTGTAAATTATTTTGTTCCGAAAAACAGCTACTTCAAAATCACGGATGGAACAATTTTTCAAAAAATTCGTATCTCCGTTATTAATTGATCAATTTCTTATTTCAAAAAAATGGATTACTTGGAAAAGTCTATATTTTAATAGAAAAAATGTTTTTACTACAAATATTTAATATTAAAAGAAAATTTCCACAAAAATTTCAAAAAAACATATACTTTTTTTTTATATTATTATTTTTTAACCATCTTTCTTTCTATAATTATAGATATATGCTGTGCCAACGGTGTATAATAACAAGTGTTCCAAAATGACATTTGGCAATTTATTCTTAATAACATATTTGAAATCAATACATAAAAAAAAATCAATAACCTATACCCTGATACATTATTATAACCCAATAACGGGAAATAAATAAACTTCACATAAAATCTAATAATATCACAAACATTCTCAATGGACATCAAGACAATTCTGAAGACATTAGCAATTACAGAATAAAATTGATACAAAAATAAAAATATTCCTCAGCCACAGAGAAACAAAAAGAATAAATTAATGGCTCAATATTCGAATCTCTAACTGGAAACCTGGACGCATCTGACGGAGAACGTCACAAACACATCATTAGGGAATTACAAAACAATAAAAATAGTTTACAAGAAAATCTTCTGAATAAACACTCACTTTCTTTAAAAGTAATAGAAAAAATTTAACCAAACTATTAAACAAATAAATATCAACGAAAAACTTCTAGAATAAAAAATTAACCAAATTGCACATATTATGGTACAAAAGGCAGACATAATAAATCAAATAGGTACCTACCTAGTCAATATCTATGAGATAATCGACTCTATTTTACAAGATAGGGAAAATTCCTTAACTTTTTCAAAATTGAAAGTCATGCATCCAGGTATAATAAAAACTGAAGACTTTTATCATGAATTAAACAAACTACAACAGCATTTAAGTTCTCAACAAATGCTCCTAGCGGTCACTTTGGAAAATACTTCACTTTTTGAAAAAATAATTTAACTGGAATATTTTGTCTTTAATAATATAATAACATACCTAATACATATACCAATAATGTATTCGGGCATTTTTGCTAACTTTCATTTATACTCGGTTCCAATGATTGCTCAGAGTGAGTTTAGGGTTGTCTTACCGCAAAATAAATTCTTGCTGAAAAATAAATTGCACTACACATACTATGGTCAAGAATGTCCAGAAATTATTCAGAAATTCAATAATTGTGGAAGAGAAGACATTCATGAAATCCAAAGAGACAGCCCATGCGAAATTAAACTAGTAGAATCTGACAAAAATACCTCCACCTGAGAACAAACCGAAGTTAAAGTCCCGCAAATTATCATCAATCGATTGGACGATTCCAATCAATGAATATTGGTCGTTCCTGTCAAAGAAGCCATCCAATTCAAGGATGTACAAAACATCATGGGAACATTTATGGTTCAAATACCAATTGGTTGCCAAGTGGCCACCGCTGATACCATGATGCCGACCCTCAATCTAAGTCGACATCTAAAATATTTGAAATTAGACGACCTTCACCAATTGAGCAAAGAAGAAATGGACATACGCCCACAACTGAGTTTCACCGAAATCAATAGAATACCCAGCCTTGGGACAATCCTTATATATGTCCTCATCGTTATTGCCTGTATCTTCTTGGTTTACATCATAGAGAAACAGACTAAAAAGAGAGTAGCAAATTAAACGAGAGAGATCGGCACCACTGTATCCCTGTAGCGCCTCCGTGAGCTACAGGATGAACTAAACTTGTGGGACGCATGGCGGGAAATTTAAATTGGTACTGAAGATTATTTGGTTTTAATGGAAATTTTTAGGGAAAAAAAACAATACCTAATTCTTTATCAAGCTAGTTTTATTGAGAAAATTATTAGCGGCATTTTTCAAGCAATAATGAAATAAATAATAACTCTTAAAATATAAATAATATACACAAACTCTGAATTCTTCAAGTAGTAATGAAATAAAACAATAACTCTTTTAATACGAATAATATCAACAATAGTAATGAAATTAATAATAAATACCTCTTCAAATACAAAAAATATGTGATAGAAAACGAAAACATTGAACTATCCTCAGTCTAAAAATAATAAAAATAAAACAAGTAATAAGTATAATGTAATTATTTATGCAATATAAAAAAATACAACACTGACCTGACACACATAGAGAGCTCTCGCAAGCCCTTTGTTTAAATTTCTTATATTACAATAATTGTTGACTTGATAATTAATGGAAAAATAGAAAATTATTTTTTTAAATATTTTTCCTAGATGTGAACTGAGGTTATGTATATCTACGTAAACATCAGCATGCGTCAGTTAATATGGAAATATCTACCGTTCTGTTTCCTTCTTCTTCTTCTGTAGTGCTTCAATGTTGCTAGAATGAGACGGAAACGAGCACGTAGGTCTAATCCCGACGCGATAAATAAAGGAACAACTTTGCGACGTCTGCGTTGCGCTACAGGCATAAAGGAATGCGGTGCCGATCTCTCTCGTTTAATTCGCTACTCTCTTTTTAGTCTGTTTCTCT